ACCACATTATATTGATAAATGGATAGATATGCAGACAGATAGAAAATAGATGGTAATTGGAATGAAGAAAACTTGGACTTGAATTATACCTCTAGCAATTTCTACTCATGTCACCACAGGCAAGTGATTTAACCTGAGTCTGTTTCCTCATTTATAAAATGTGGATACTAATACTTACAAGGTATTTAAGAGGGTCAGTTGACCTAATGCATATATATGTGTACATTATTGTATACACAATTATAATATATGTGCATACATACAATATAAATACACATGCATACATATGCATATATACTAAATATTTGCATATATGTATACATCTACGTATATGAATATCAGACTCAGCCTATCCTGGACATTAGACAGGTAAGAATGGTGTCTAGGATTTAAGGCAAGGTGCTGCTTTAGAATCCTTTGATAGCTCAGTGGGTAGAGCAACGGACTATAGAAACAGATGATCTGGATTTCCTTAGGTTGCTAGTTTAAATCCAGCTCAAAGGAGGTGATGCCATTTGGGTACCTAGGTACTGCAGTGGACAGAGTGCTGACCCTTAAGCCAGGAAGACTCATCTTCCTGAGTTCAAATCTGGCTGTGTGACCCTGGACAAGTCACTTAACCCAGATTACCACGCTTTATTGATCTGTAGAATGAGCTGGAGAAGGAAATGACAAATGCTTCCAGTATCTTTGCTAAGAAAACCCAAAATGGGTTCACAAAGAGTCAGGGGCAGCTAAATAGCAATAACAACAGCTCTACAGGTTAGAGGTAGGGGACAGAGTCATTTTGAATCAGGAGAATACAGTAAGAGATTAAATCAGTACTAAGGCTGGAGAAGGTACAAAATTCAAAGGAGTGAGCAAATGAAAACTGAATGTTTATCTTCTTTTCAATCATTGCTAGCTTTGTAATCTCAGCCTATTATCTTGTTCTTCAGAAATAAACTGGTCATCATGTCAGTTGGTTGCAAGAAGTGGTTGTTAAGGGATAAGAGTAAGGGAGAGGACAATAAGCTATTATATAAAGTGGTAACAATGAAAGAGCCCTTTCTTACAGAAAAAAGTAAAAATAAAATGAAAATTAAGAGTCAGAGCTGCTTTTTGGAAATAGGAAATAGGAAGTGATGCTAAAAATATAGTCTACTAACAGATGTGAAGGAATCAGGTGAAATTAGAGAAATTTTCAGGATAGAGATTAGCTAATGGAAGTAGTGGAAAGAGAGAAAATCAGTGTATTTTCTCAACTACTTCAATTTTGAGCTCATCTTCTTTGCTTGGCAAACTGAGTAGAGAGTCCTAAAAATTTGGAGAATTGTAATTTTCTAAAATACTAAAAAAAATTACATCAAAAGATACAGTCCTCAGCAGGAGGATAATATCTTCCATCACCACAGAGATTTCCTTTTTGTGTCTCTTAGGAAACATTATCCCTTGGCACCTCCATGCAGGCATTAATTGGATATATGGGACACTAAATCACTGAACTGTGCTATCTCTTCTTATGTGAAATCATTCCTGAGTATTTATTTATCTAACACTATCCTTATAGTGCTTCACATCCTCTCCTGGGGCCTGAGAATGATTTGTTACTCAATTTGATCTGGATGGGAGAAACTATAGCAGTCTCTGAGAGGACTTATATGCTTCTGCTCTCTGATCCCAATAGAGAATGATTACAAGCCTGGAGTATTGGAAATAAACCTCTGTCAGAATTTGGACTTGATCATCTCCCCTATATTTCAAATGTTGTCTCTAATTCCGAGTGCACCTCTGGAAAATAGAAAAGGTAAATAATGAAAATGGATACCCAGAGTGCTTTTGTTCAGTCATCTAATATGCAAATGATCAAACTAAGCCCAGGAACAATGTAACTTGTTATTTGGTCTAGAGATTTATCTACCAATCAGTGCCCCCCTTTGAAATATGTTTTTAGAAGCAACTTAGAGGAATGAAGCTAAACCTGAGAAGCTGATATTTGAGAAGATTTAACCTGGCGCTGTCATCAAACATTTATCAAAAGGTTTGTAATTGTGGTATAAAACTTTTTTTATCTACTAATAAAAGAGAAAACTCTGGATAGATTCAAGAAGGACTGGGATAAATTATTGAATGATAAAACATTTTATAATTGATTACAAATAGTGATAAATATGGATCCAAGAAGACCTGGCTTTGAGTTCAACCTCTGGCATTTTCCTAGCAAGTCATTCAAACTCTCTGAATTTCTTTCCTCATTTGTATAATGTGGATACTGATGCCTCACAAAGTTTTTTATAGGGCATAATTGAGATAATGCATATAAAACTCTTTGAAAACCTTAAAATACTACATTAGTATCAGCTATGCTAATACTTAGAGTGAAGTTGGGCATTTTCAAGAGATAGTGCTAAACTGTGAGATTTCATACGTATTTCATACTAGCATGGTTTCTCACAATATCATCAGACCATACTGGATGAAATTAATTGCTATATGTGCCAGGTACTATGTTAAGTGCTTTATAATGATTATTTTGTTTGATCCTCACAACAACCCTGTGAGATAGGTGATATTGTTATTCCCATTTTACAGATGAGGAAACTGAGGTAAACATGACACACCCAGGGTCCCATAGCTGAGGTCAAATCTGAATTCAGGTCTTCCTGAATCTATGTCCCATATTGTATCCACTGCACCATCCAGCTACTCATTGCTATGGACTCCCTAGAGAGGTGATGAGTTCTTCCTCCTTCGAGCAGAAGTATGTTATATTCCAGGTATATTACAGTTGCTTGAAATTTAACTGGAAACCTTAGTAAAGTTTTCATCCTATTAAAAAGGTCCTTTGGGGTAGATAATACTTTAATATTTTTGATCATTTATGCCTTTGTGTAAATGACAGGAGAGTATATTTTGGGAGAGTAAAAAGGAGAAGATGAGCACACTGGGCTTTTCAGTGGAGATGGAAAAACAGGTGAAAAGTATGTAGATAAAAATTCATAGCAATCATTGCTCATGGGAACATTTCTTATTTATAAATCAAGGTTCCCACAAATACTTGTATGTGCATGAAACATTATATAAACATGAGTCATTATGAATGTAGCGAACCTTTGGAGTAGAGAGACTGGATTTATGAAAATCTTACACTGTCAAGCAGAGAGATGGGGTGAAGTTTAAGGAAAGGAGAGTAGGAACAGGAGACCATTAAGAAGAAAAATAACATATTATATGCACAGTTTTTGATATGTTAAGTGGATATGAAAGCTTAACATAGCTTATAATGCAATTAAACAGAGGGAAATAAGTAATCATTCCACCCCTAGCATCTATTTCTTGCTCACTGTGCTCTGATACACAAATAGCGAACAATGTTCAGGTAGGTAGAGAACTAGCCTAAAGCCTTGCAATCAGCAGGGAATCTACTTGTTTATTTCTACAAGTGAGTCTCAATTTATTGCCCCAAGAAAAAGTAGTTTGCTTAAAAAGAGATCAAGTTGTTTGGTTAAGAGATTTCAGGGAACAATAAGAAGAAATAATTTAAGAATGATAACTTTATTCTTGAATATTTCATGCTGTTTGGGGTGAGCAGCTTTATATATACTCCTAAAATAGGTGTTCTTAACCTAGAATTCATTAACTTAATTTTTAAAATATTTTGATAATTTTGTTTCAATATAATTTATTTCCTTTTGTAATCCTATATATTTTATTTTATGCATTTAAAACTTTATTCTGAGACATGATCCATAGGTTTTATCAGGATGACAAAGGTTTTCACAGCACACAAAAATTTTAAGCACTATTTGTAATATTCTCAGGCTGATAAGATTATTTGATATATGAAATAACCTGTGATATTACACACAATTCCCAATGTTGCCCCTGTCTAGTAGATTTCCAGGTCTCATACTGCTTCTTCTCCTAGTAACCAGGCTTAAATAAATAAGAATTCTAAACTAGCAAATGAGGGATGTAGCTTTTATTTAAAGATGAATTTATTTAATATAAGGATTCTGGGCAATGAGAAAGAGTTATGAAAGAATGCCCTTTTTATAGAACAAGTAGGTTTAAGCAAAGAAGAATGAATGCCTTATCAGCTACATATATTTAGCTAAATTCTTATCAAAAGAAAGAAATTATTATGACAGCTCTGTTACAGACATCATCAGATGTGGAGTGGTATTACCTTTTTAATCATAATCTACCTCAACTTGGTGTTAGAACCATATTTTTTTTTCATGCTTTGTGTTTGGGTAAGTTATTGGCCCAGTCCAAAAGGAAGAGGGAAGAGACATGGGAAATAGAATGGCAAGGAAACAATGAAAGACAAGCAAAAAATATGGTATAAAATGGCAAATAAAGCAGTTGGAGAGAAAAAGCTTTAAAATAATAAAATGGGAGATTAAAGAGATATGAGCACATATTACATGCCCAGCACTGCACTAAATATTGTAATTGTGAATTCAAAAGCAAGAATATATTAGACATTCTTGTAACACCAGTGTTTCAGCAGTCAGCAGATACTAGATTTCATTAAATATTTGTTGACTTGATATTTTTAAGAAAGAAAAGAAGGCATGCAACTAAAGCTGGAAATGAGGGAAGAATGAGGGCAGAGATATATAGAGGGATGCAAATTTTGAGACAAGAAAATAAAGAAGTATAAGATAGAGATATGGTGGAGGGCATCAGAGAATGCTTTCTATTAATCATAACTTGAAAAAATAATTGCCAAGGTTTTTCAGGGATTTTAGCAATTGACCCCAACTTTGAAATAGTCTGATTTCCATAGAAGCCTTGCTCTAAAAGATCCCGTGGTACTACTTTGTTTCTAATTCTTTACCATTTTTCCCCAAAAGAGGCCATAAACAAAATGATAAGATTTTAAGGCAGGAAGGAAACTGAAAAGTCCAACTTTTTTAAAGCATGCTTATCATTGAAGAATTCTTGAACTGAAGGCTTTTTATTTTTTATTTTTGTCTCTAACATTATTGGGAAAAAGGAAATCCACAGAAAAGATGAACAAGATATACAATGTCAGTTCCAGAGGATATTTCATCCTGATGGGTTTCTCTGACCAGCCTCAGCTGGAGAATGTACTGTTTTGGGTTATCCTGATTTTTTATTGCTTGACCATTGTGGGTAACATTACCATCATCCTGATTTCCTCCCTGGAACCTAGACTCCATACGCCCATGTATTTCTTCCTCTCCAATCTTTCCCTACTAGAGCTCTGTTTCACTACCAGCTGTGTTCCTCAGATGTTGGTCAATCTCTGGGGGCCAGAGAAGACAATCAGTTACATTGGTTGTGCCATTCAACTATATGTTTTCCTGTGGCTTGGAGCCACCGAGTGTATTCTACTTGTTATTATGGCTGTGGATCGTTCTGTGGCAATCTGTCGACCACTACATTATGTCTCCATCATGCATCCCCGCCTCTGTCTTCAGCTAGTAATTCTGGCGTGGGGAAGTGGCCTGATTCAATCAATAATCCAGATACCATCTACCTTACATTTGCCTTTCTGTCTTCACCACAGAGTGGATGATTTTGTATGTGAGATACCAGCCATGATTCGCCTATCCTGTGGGGACACCACCTATAATGAGATTCAGCTATCTATATCTAGCATCATTCTCCTGGTAGTTCCTTTGACTCTCATCCTGATCTCCTATGGTGCCATCACCAATGCAATCCTAGGGGTGAAGTCAACTGCTGGGCAGAAGAAGGCCATTGGCATCTGTGGCTCCCACCTTCTAGTGATATCCATTTTTTATTGTACTGTCACAGCTGTCTACCTTCAACCCAAGAGCCAATATAGTCAGAAACAGGGAAAAGTCTTTACTCTCTTCTACACTGTGGTCACTCCCACACTCAACCCTCTCATATATACTTTAAGGAATAAGGAAGTAATGATAGCATTAAGGCAGTTAGGAAAGAGAAACTGCATCGCCTTGGAGATCTGTAGAAGATGATAAAATGAAAACATAGAAAATTAATGCTAGAAATACAGACACAAACATATTCATGTATAACTATATAATTTATAAATACACATAAATGTGTGTATGATATCTAGCTACAAGGTAATTATAAAGATAAATAACTAAATAACTCAAAACTACCTCACAGAACTCCTGCTCTCAGTCTCTCTTTACATTGCTCAAAGACAGGCCATCTTTAATAGGCCCCATATCCTTTTAGGCTGCTGCACTTTTAGGTATTCAGGTTTAAAATTAAACCCGTTCCATTGTTCCTGGGGAAACCTGATCCTAGTTCAAGTTGAAGCCATGATTCATAATTCATATGAGGCTCAAGAGGAAAGAAAGGGGTTGAGAATAGGAGAGTACAGAAATTAGAAGTAGAAGACTCTTTTGGGAGGTACCCTAAAGTATGTTATTGGTTGCTTTTACAACTATTTTTTTTTTTTAAGAAAGAAATAAGTAGACAACACAAAGATTTAGTTAAGGTGGACAAGGGACCCAATTATAAGGATTCTTAGAGTTTATCTCCATAGACTCCATAGAGTCAAGAACAAATGTGCACCAGCATTTTTAGGGGGTGTCTCTTGAATACAATCTTCACTTGAGTTTAACTTATGATCTAAGGCAATAATTGTGATCTCCCTGTAACCACATCTCAACCGGTCATTGACACCAATTGATAGCCACAGATTTCATTCAACCAACCGATCATCACAATTCAAAAAAAAGAAAAGAAAAGAAAAAAGAAAATAAAGTTTCCCAGAAATATAAGGGAAAATATGATAAAATAACATGAGAGAATCCACAGAATACCAATAGAAATAAAGTAGATATTTAATTCCTCAAGGAACAGTACAGGCAAATTTTGGAATGAAGTATCCCAAGAGAATACATTTTAAGGAAAGGAAGGAAAAAACTGCTCCCACTTCAATCAAAATCAACTATCATAACAGAAGATTATGCTTGATTTAGAAGAAATCAAAGAAGAAAATAGAATATGAACAAAAGCAAAGGTAATCTATTTATACCACAAAATAGCACCTCCTGCAAAGCAAGGCATGTTAGTAAAATTAAAGCAGTGTGTGTTCAGTGAAAGGAAAAATTCATGATAAATTAATAATTCAGTGTCCAGTGGAAGGAAATAATTTAAGTGATTCCTTTAAAAAGACCCAAAGTCATCAGGGTACTCAACATGTCAACTAGTCATGCAGGAAAAAGTCAAGCACTTGAAAATAGCAATGAAAGACTAAGAAATATATTTCACATACATATGTTAACATATATATATATATAATCTCTCTTTTCATTTCTTAATCTTTCATTACTATATGAACCTGCTTGACTTTGTTCTCTTTGCTCAGTTTGCTTGTTGAATACTTCAATCACTTCTGACTTCTTTTAAAGGAATAATTCAAATTCTTCCTTTTTACTGAACACTTTATAATTATAATTTTATTCATCAAGATTATGATGATGATGCTCAGCTTTCCATGGGGCTAGACAAAGCCATAACCATGGATGGGTGAGTCATTAACTTCTTGAATTACATATTGTCTAACAGACATTAAGAAAACACTGAGGACAAAAATGGGCTAAATAATCTAAAGGAAAAATCAGGAAAACAGCAGAAGTAAGAAATGAATTAATATTTCAGGTACAAACTCATGGAACACAGTTCCATAAAGCAGTCCTCAGAAGTAAATTACTATCTCTGAAAAGTAATATTGACAAAATTTCTAGTGAGCATCAATACATTAACTGAGCAATTAAGAAAACTAAAAATTAACAGATCATTAACCCTAAAATAAGTGCAAAAGAAGAAATCTTGATAGTAGAGAAATTTTTTGGAGGGGAGGATTATATGGCCTATGAACAAAAGCAATAAAGAAGCTAACAGATTCAATAAGCCTTTAGTTAGCTGCAAAATAAGCTGATCAAGGGGAAAATAGAACAAGATTGTGCAAACTTCTTCAACCCCTCAACCTCAAAAGAAAGGAATTATTAGAAAATCATAGAATAATTAGAGATAATTCTACAAAATAGAATACCTCCAAACAAGGTGAAAATTGCATTAATTAATACTGAAGAACTTTAAAGTGCTCACTTGGCATCCCCACCTCCAACTCTCAACCTACTCCACAATAATGAATACAAACTAACTTGCAACCAAGGACGTAACCACAGAGATCCCCTGCATCTTTTGGTCAATGCCTTTGACCAAACACTCCACCCCCTCCCACTCCACAGGAAGTTTCAAACATTAATGCCACCCAGTTATAAAAAGAAAAGTATGATAAGCGACCAAACAATGGAAACACATGTGCCAGGAAACACATGTGCCAAGTAGCAATGTTGAAAATCATGGTTTAGAAGGAAGCAGTATGTCAGATCAGATAGGGACCTGGGGTTGGGGGGAAATGGGGCTAGTCTTATCCTCTCAGAGGTTACATAGGATAAGGACTTGGGGAAAAGCCCTCCATATTCTCACTAAACAAAGAGGATCAGGCTTCCTGAACTCCCATCGACTTGCTCTGAAGCTGAGTACAGCATAATGACCTTCATACCCTCATGCTCTTCTAGAAGCTTTACGGATTCTCCATTGCCTTTAGGATAAAATGCAAAATCATCTCTTTAGCATTTAAGACATTTCTGATTCTAATCCAAACCTATTTTTGTTTATTATTTATTATTTCATGTCACTCCCAATCATATACTGTATATTCCCACCAAACTATCTAACATATTGTTCCTCATAAATGACACAACATTTTCAGATTCTGTGCATTTGCACAGGTTCTACTCTCTCTTGTAATGCTCTCCCTTCTCCCCTTTGCTCTTGTAATCCCTCCCTCCCATCAAGATTCAGGCCAAGGTACCACCTCCTACAAAAGGCCTTCCCTGATTCTCTCAGTCAGTGCTCCCTCACTCTCACTCTGTCTCTTAAATTATTCTATATATATATATATATATAGTATTTATTTTTCTCAGTTGAAGTCAAGCTTCTTGAAATCAGGCATTATTTCATTTTTGTCTTTGTATCCCCAACACCTCATATGATTGCAGACACAAAGTATGTGCTGAATATATGCTTATTGAATTAAACTGAATGGTCATGTTTTGACTTGAATCATTGAGATTAATTTCAGATAATAGCATTAACTAATGTAATTTTCCTTCTGAGGAGAATCTCCTTCCCTAAACTCAAACTCGCTTTGACTCACCAGATAATGATTAATACTATTACTCAAGGGATTATTCATTCTTTTCATTAATTGTTAATCTATCTAAGTTGATTGCCACCTGTCAGGAACACCTACTCTTCCAAGGGCATATAAGCATAAAGGCCATTATGATCCATTGTTGGTTCACGGGAGACAGTCAAATGACCATCCTTTTATTATTTGCTTGCCATAATTAATAAAATGATTAATTACCAGAAATTATGTCTCTCAAGTTTTTTTTATTTTTATTTTTTTCCAGAAGTTTTTATTTATGTTTTTAACATGTGTTTTTAAAACTTTGAGTTATGTATTTTCTCCCTTCCTCCCTCCCCACCCACCCTCATTGAAAAGGCAAGCAACTCGATACAGGTTATAGATGTGTAGTCATGCTAAACACTTCCATAGTAGTCATGTTGTGAAAAGCTAAGTTTATTTCCCTTCATCCTAACCTACCCCCATTTATTCTATTCTCTCTTTTCACCCTGTACCTCCTCAGAAGTGTTTGCTTCTGATTATCCCCTCCTCAATCTGCCTTCCCCTCTACTAATCCCCTGCTCTCTTGTCCCCTTCCACCCTTATTTTCCTGTAGGGTAAGATAGATTTCCATACCCCAATTGTGTATGTTATTCCCTCCTTAAGCCAAATCCTATGAGAATAAGATTCACTCATTCCCTCTCACCTTCCCCCATTTCCCCTCCACTGTAAAAACCTTTTCTTGTCTGTTTCATGTGAGATAATTTACCCCATTCTACTTCTCCCTTTCTCTTTCTCCCAGTATAATCCTCTCTCATCCTTTAATTTTATTTTCCAGATATCACCCCTTCATCTTCAATTCACCCTGTGCCCTGTATCTATCTATCTATCTATCTATATATACACAAATATAATTTTTCCCTCCCACTATTCTAATACTGACAAAGGACTCATGAGTTACAGATATCATCTTTCCATGCAGGAATGTAAACAGTTCAACCTTAATAAGTCTCTTATGATTTCTCTTTCCTGTTTACCTCTTCCATGTTACACTTAACTCTTATATTTGAAAGTCAGATTTTCTATTCAGCTCTGGTCTTTTCATCAAGAATGCTTGAAATGACCATTTTTTATCCTGAAGGATTATACTTACTTTTGCTGGGTAGGTGATTCTTGGTTGTAGTCCTATCTCCTTCGCCCTCTGGAATATTATATTCCATGCCCTCCAATCCCTTAATGTAGAAGCTGCTAAATCTTGTGTTATCCTGATTGTGTTTCCACAATACTTGAATTATTTCTTTCTGGCTGCTTGCAATATTTTCTCCTTGACCTTGGAATTCTGGAATTTGGCTACAATATTCCTAGGAGTTTTCCTTTGGGGATCTCTTTCAGGAGGTGATCGGTGGATTCATTCAATTTCTATTTTGCCCTCTGGTTCTAAAATATCAGGGCAGTTTCCCTTGATAATTTCTTGAAAGATGATGTCCAGGCTCTTTTTTTGATCATGGCTTTCAGATAGTTCAATAATTTTTAAATTCTCTCTCCTGAATCTATTTTCCAGGTCAGTTGTTTTTCCAATGAGATATTTTACATTCTCTTCTATTTTTTCATTCTTTTGGATTTGTTTTACAGTGCCTTGATTTCTCATAAAGTCACTAGCTTCCAATTGCTGCATTCTAATTTTAAAGGAAATATTTTCTTCAGTGAGCTTTTGGACTTCCTTTTCCATTTGGCCAATTTTGCTTTTTAGGACTTTCTTCTCCTCAATGGCTTTTTGAACCTCTTTTGCCATTTCAGTTAGGCTATTTTTTAAGGTGTTATTTTCTTCAGTATTTTTTGGGTCTCCTTTAACATCACTCTCAGTTTTTTTCTCTACTTCTCTTACTTGTTTCTCAAAATCCTTTTTGATCTCTTCCACGGCCTGGGACCAATTCATGTTTTTCTTGGAGGCTTTGGATGTAGGAGCTTTGGCTTTGTTGTCTTCTTCTGGTTGTATGTTTTGATCTTTTTTGTTACTAAAGTAAGATAATATAGTCAGACTCTTTTTTGCACTGCTTGCTTATGATCCCAGTCAATTATTTGAGTTATAAACTCTTTGTTAAGGTAGGAGTCTGTTTCCAGTGTGGAGAATGTACTGTTCCAAGCTTCAGGGGTTTTGTGCAGCTGTTTTCAGAGATACTTCTAGGGACCTGAAAATTTTCAGTTCTTCCAAGATGCTATGATCAAGGGTGAGGTGTTTACTCCTTTCCTGGCCTGTGCTCTGGTCTGAGTGACCACAAGCACTCTTTTCTGTCTTGGAACTGTGAGGAGGATTCCCTCTCCACAGCCACTACAAGCTCCACCATGCCAGAGCTCCTTCTCACCCCAGGACCGCCACCCAGTACTGTGACCCAGATCTGAGCCCAGGCAAAGTGAGAGAATCCTGCAGAAGCAGAAAAATCCCTGCAATCTCCCTCTAATCAGCCACTCGATTCCCCCTCAGTCTGTGGGCCAGAAGCTCAGGAGGCAGCCACTGCCCCGGGACCAGGCTCAGGGACTGGAGCTGAGACCAACACACTTCTCTCTTTCATCACAGACACAGACTTTTCCCACTGATTTTCTAATTTGTCTTTGGCGTTTGTGGGTTAAGAGTTCTGGAAACTGCCACAGCTGCCTGTGATTCAGCCCTCTGAGACCTGCTCCAGGTTCGCTGAGGCCTGGGTGTGATATAATATTTTGATAGACCATCTGGGTTGTCTTGGGCTGGATATTTGTTTCACTTTGTCTTTTTGTGGGTTCTGCTGCTTTAGAATTTGTTTGGAGCCATTTTTATAGGTATTTGGAGGAGTTTGTGGGAGAGATCAAGCCAGTCACTGCTTTACTCCACCATCTTGGCTCCTCCTCCTCTTAAACTTTTTTATACATCATTGTTTGGCAGCCATGAAGGGGCAAGAGTTATGCACGCCAGATTTTTAACAAAAACCAAAATTCTCCTATATCTTTGCCCCAAGTGGAGAATTTCTCCACAAGGGAAGCTTTCTATTAAGACTCTGGCTGTGTGATCTGACTTTGCCTATTACTAGTAATTAGATTTTTGCTGGATAAGTTTATATGTTCTATGTCTGTTTTAAATGTGTTTCTTGGTGCTACAGCACTCTTAATTTTCACTCTCAACAGCAGGGGATTTTGTTGATCAGGCTACAGAGACTAACTGTGATATATACATGCAAATTTTGGGGGTGTAGGTCACCCAAGAAATTCTAGATTGATTTTGAAATTGTTGCCTGGGTATTTCGGGCCTGCTATAAGAAGCAGACGTGGCTTGTAGTTTCTTGCAGGTAGAATTTTCATATAAAGAAAACTGAGGCAAGCTGTGAGAATATGAAACTTTTTTTTCTAGGCAATTGGGGTTAAGTGACTTGCCCAGGGTCACACAGCTAGTAAGAGAGAGAATATGAAACTCTTGTAAAAGCTATGAGTCCTGGGGAGCATGTTTTCAGGTAACTTTAAATGGAGGAATTAGATCAAAGTGCAGTATTGAATGTGGCACTGAGTAAAAAAATCTACTTTAAGCACAGTAGGAAGCTAAGTACAGGTAAGTAAAAAAAAAAAAAAAAGTTGCTTGAGCAGAGTAGAAGGTACACCCAAGCTAGGAAAGTAGCTTTTATATCTCATCTTTGATTTCTAGTCATTAAGGCTCTGTGTGTTCTGTCTGTGTTTGTGTTTCATCTCTGTGGGAATCATTAAGATAAAGCCTGCATTTGCTAAGTGGGGGAACTGAAAAGCAAGGTAAGACTCCTTCTGGTTATAAAGTTTGAAAGGGTAATTTAAGGAAAAAAGAGAGTTTTCTTTCTGTGTTTTAATTGGAGCCAAAATCAAAAAACAGACAGGGAAGGGGGAATTTTCCCCAATATATAAGAATTTGTAGATTTGGAGATGGAAGCAGAGAAGAAATTTTTATCTGAGAAGTAAAAACACAAAGGTTTTTTTTTGGGTGGGACTATAGTAGTTTCAAGCTATTAAGATTTTAGACCTAGCAGCCCATAGACAATGTGACTATTAACACAGCCGTAGCCTGCAAGGGCTGATGAGGGAATTCTATCTTTGATTCTTACTGGGAAAATCACCATTTCAAGAGAGATTAATTAAATAGCTACTTAAAGCCACCTGCAAAAGGGATTTTTTTGGTCACTCCAAAGTTTTTGAATTAAGATTCAATGGGATTCCAAAGCTAAAATTTGTAGATTATGTTTAATTAAATCTAGAGAACTGTCTTTGCAACCCAATATACCTGACACCAAGGTAATATACTTAAAATTGCAAAGTTTTGTTTCGTTTTGTTTTGTTTTGTCTTTTGAGATACTTGGATTAAAGTTTTTCTACCACAGCCTTTGCTATTAGGAGACACCCTGTTTTCCAGAGCTAAGGCCCAGCAAGCAAGCTATGCCCTGAGCTTGACATAACAGCAATCCTTTGCTCTCACCCTCTAGCAGAATCACATAATTATTATGTTGCTTTGACCAGCACCAGATACTCTCTGAGCTCAGACAAGTGCCTATTGTATCCATGTTCTGGTCATGAAGCCCTGCTATGAATCAAACTTGTCACATCGTTGCTGTTATCACTCATTGTCAGGACTATAACTCACTGTGCAGACATAGGTATAAATATTGAAATCTGCCTATACTGAAATGGGTCCCTGCCCACTAGGGGCAGGGCTCCAACACATGTTTTCTTGCTTGCAAGTTTTCTAAAGGCAAATGGAGGATGTCAGTTCCAGATTTTAATAATTCTCATATTTCAGAGTGATATTTCATTTCTTTTCTCCACAAAGTTTGAATCGGTTCAGTACAGGCAGCCCAAGCTGTGTGAACTTAATCTGGCAGTTAGTAGGCTGAGATCCAGTGAGAATGGGGGCCTTTGGGGAAGTCAGCACATGTCCACAGAATATCCTCTGGTACTTTCCTAGAGGCTTGAGAATAGTGCCATGTGGTGGCTAAATTATATATTACTTCCTTTTTTTTTTTAAAAAAAAAAGTTAAAAGATAAAAGTCTTCTAAATTTAGAAGAAATAAAGCTCTAAGGGGATGGGGGGAGAGGATAAAGGAGGGATTTTAAGAGGAGAAGGTGAGGGAATAGGTTGAAAGGGGGATATAGAGAGGCATATAGATTAACAGGAATGGGAGGATAAGGGAGGGATCTTTGGAGGGGAGGGTGAGGGAAAAGGTCAAAGAGGTGGACAAAAGGGTGTTTTGATTTATGGGAAGGAGAGGATAAGGGAGGGATTGCTGGAGAAGGGGTAGGTTAAGCAATAGGAGGACAAGGTAGCATAGAAGTAAAGTAGAAGAGTTAGGAGAGATAGGAAAAAAGAATACATACAAACATAAAAACAAAGATTAGGAGTAGAATCTCTTAGGGAAAGTATAGGCTTATGTATGTATGTATATATGTATGTATATATCAATATCTATATATAAATATAACCATGCTTAATTGTAGCCTGAGGGAGGGAAAGGGGAGAGGAAGGGGGAAAAAATAACAAAGTAAAAAGTGTACAGCAGAGAACAAAAGAAAAACTTACAAGAAAGCCAAGAAAAGATGGACAGCTTTCAACAAAGGCCTAGAGGTGAGAGATGGAAGTTCAAGGAGACCGGCTAGGCTGTAGCATAGAATGTAGGAGAAGGAATCAGTCTGGAAATGTGTGCTACAGATTGTTAAAGGTCTTAAATGATGAACAGAAAGGTTTTCATCATATCCCAAAAAAGTAGCTGCTATAGCTTTTTTAGCATGGGAATGGCATGATACAACTTGCACTTTAGGAATATCTATTTGGTACCTGGGTTGAGAAAAGTTTGGAAAGGAAAGAGATGGAATTTAAGGAACCAATTAAGATATCACTGCAATAGACCAGAAAAGAGGTGATGAGGGCCAGTTCTAGGTTATTTGTGGTATAATGTGATATGGGATCTACAAAGGCCTGAGAGGCAAGATGATGAGGAGCTCAAGGGTAGAGGAAAGCGTAAAGCTGAGCTACTTAAGTAGAGGGCTGAGATTTTGAAGGAAAAAAAGTCATCTCTTGAGGGAGCAGGGAGGTGTTCTAGTGATCTGAGGTTACTATAATGATAATAGAAAAGATTGAGAATGGGTAAAAGCACACAGAGAGGTGGAAATATAAGATATTAATATCATATAGATGAATGTCAGAGTTATGAATTTTGGAGGTGAAATTTTTTCAGTGATAATGAATGCAAGGGCATGACAATTCTTGTATGGGGCAATGTGGAGGGAAGATGAAGAACATAAGAATTGAGGAGGGTGATAAACTGTTGTCAAGAGATGGCCCAGAGGGTAGGTACCCCACTTCCCACAAAAGGGCCTCAACTCTGGAATCAGGCAGGTTGATTTCATTCTTAAAAGAATTTGACCCCAGAGAGAGGGGATTAGGATTTTCTTATACTTTCTAACTCTCTCTGCCCTTCCATAGACTAACACTGAGGAAAATCTGGAGCAAAGATTAAAAGTG